CCCCGCGCCCGGCCCCCACCCCGCACCCGGAGCCCCGGGCCGCCCGCCCAACACGCCCATGAATCCCAATGAAGCGGCCCTGGCACCTCGAGCCGCTCCCGGCTTCCAGGCCCTGGGCTGGGCCCTGCTGGGTCCCTTCGGGCTGGGGGCGGCGGCCCCAGGGCTGAGCCCACCCGAGCTGCGGCGCCCGCGGGGCGCGCAGCTAAGCAGGCGCATCGGGGCTGAGGAGAAACCGGGCCATTTATCCGCCCGTCTAGTTAAAGCGGGTTATTTGTTTGCTTCTCTGGCCTCCTCCTCCCCTCCCCTCCCCCTTCCCTCCTTCCCCCTCCCTTTTCCTTCTGCCTTTTATTCTTTTGTCTCTAAATGGATTTAATGAGCCTGAAAAACATGACAATTGAATATAACCAAGAAATAAAATATAACGAGGGAGGAAGGAAGGAGGAAAAGAAAGAAGGAAAGACGGAAGGAGAAGGATTAATAAAATGAAGGGGGGAAATCAATTTAGCCGTTGTTTATTGTGTGCTGGTAGCTAGAGAAAAGGAACCGAACGCTGCCCTCAAGGAGCGCCCAGTCTATAGTAGGCAGGCCCGGAAGCACCCGGTACGCGGTGCGCGGAAGGGAGACCCTCGCCCTCAGGCAGCGAAGTGCTGCTTGCAAAATGAGGGGACCCAACTTCGGGCCGGCGGGCGGTGATGGCTTCTTGGAGGAGGAGGCAGAAGACCCAGGCCTTGAGAGACAGAAGTAATTCGTTGTGTCTGTGGACTGGAAAAGGAAGCGAGTTGAAGGAAAGAAAGGGCCGAATGGAAGGAAGAGGGAGAGAAATACACGCGGGACCTTAGGCTGAGCCCCAACCCAGGAGCGGTGAGCTCTGACTCGCATAATTTGGGGAGAGGATCAGAGTCACTCCGCGGTCACTTCGGCTTTGCAGAACCCCAAGCTGGGCTTCCAAGCTTTGGCTGGGCTCCTAGAGCCGTGTGCACCATGCGTGAGGCTGTCCAGGCCTGACTCCCGCCACGCGGAGCACCGCAGGTTGGGGCTCACCTCCAGGCCTGGCTAAATTGGAGGCAGAGGGGAAGTCGGCAACTGAGGCGCTTGGATCCAGGGAGGCCTGGACCCTAGCCAGCCCTCTTCTCAGCTATCCTAGTTCTGATGAAGGCTGATGACGCTCAGATGGCCTTGGCCACCGCTCGGGTGCTGCCGCCAGGACCTATGATGCCATAGGGCCTTGAACTCCGAGTGTCCCCCAGCCTGCTGAGCCTGCCTGGGTGAGGCTGTGTGCGCTTAGCCGCGGGCAGTGTGCTTTGCGTGTCTGTTTCTTTTTCGAGTTAGACTGTGGCAAGGATGGTGTGGAGGGCTGTGGGCCCCACGTCCACTCTGGGTGAAGTTCGCTACAGCTCAGCCCTTCGGCCAAGGTTCCATCATCATCGCCTGGGGCCAGTGCCTACTTGTTTCATCCGGAATTCCCGCCCTGTGAAGACCCACTTTCGGTTCCTGGCTATCTAAGGGAGGAGGCTCGGCTTTGTCTCTCCCTTCTCGATTGTGTCCCGGGCCTTAACCAAGCTTATCAAGTCCTGGGACGCGACCGGTTTCTGTTCTGTGGACTGGGGCCCCCTCTGCGCGCGGACAGGCAGAGCTGCCTCCTCTGCGTCTCGGGTTGTACCTTCCCCCGCTCCTCCGGAGGCCTGGCGAGTGGCGCCGGGTGAGGCCGGGAGGCTCAGTTCCTTATTTTACGAGGTGTCGGCCGGTGTCAGACGCAGCTCTGATAAGTAATACTCCAGTCTGAGGGACCAGAACGTGGTAATTAATCCCAAAGACTTAAGTGTATTTTAGTTCAGGAGGAAAAAAATCACTAATTCAATCGTCCGGAAAATTGAAGTTTGATGCATGAGTCCCCCCTGAAAGGGACGGGCTGGGGCCCGCATGCCTCCCCTCCGCTCCTGCCCGTCGCCGCGGGGACACCCCCCACCTCCTCCCCACCCTTCTGCGCCACGGGTCCAGAAAAGTCCACTCTCCCAGGCTTGCTGGTTCCCAGACACCAGAACCCAGGGACACCTGCTTCCCACACCCAACAAACTGCCCCTTTCTTGGGGCCCAGAAAGCAGTTTGTGCTGACAATGCACTTGCTCCCCAAACACATGTACATGGGAGGGGGCATAAAGGAGCCTGGAAGATGTAAGGGGAGCAGCCAGATAAGAGGTCAGTCAGTGTAGGTAAGTTAAGGTCAGGGGCTGCAAAGCAGGTGGAAAAGGGATAGGGAACCAGAGCTGGTTGGGGTGCAGAGGGTTAGCTGCTGATGTACCAATAGAGAATTCCATAGGGTTTCCAGGTGGTTATGAGTGTGTTGGGTGAATTAAGTGGTGTGATTGGGATGTAGGGGTGAGTAGCTGTGTGGAAATGGGTGTACCTCTAGAATG